ATAAGGTCACGCGACCAGTAGGCCCTCGGGGAGCTGCGACCACTTTAGCACGCGCGTGCGTCCGTATCCTGTCCAGTGGTACAGGTCGTCGCGTGTATGCGGTCAGAGCAAACAAGCAAAGGCTTTTGGCTAGGCTCGACGCCTCAGGAAAGCCTCCAAATGTTGCTGGCATTTGGTCAGGCTAAACGCCTAACAGTAAGGTGATGTTTATAAGGGACACTTGTCCACCTTAGGTATGTACGGCCACAGTCAAATTATTAGCATTGCAACTAGACATCAGAAATTGAGAATTGTTTACACGCAAAACATAGAATGACTGAGATGTTCGTTTCTGGCATGTTGGCACACGTCGGTATCAGGAGATAAACTATCATATCAATATTATGGCCAGTCTGTCTGACAGTGGCACTAGATTAGAACCAATTTCAGTGCTCGGAGATTCTCAGATATTTCACGATATCTGCAGCAGTTGCCACCATTTTATTCGGATCAATTTGGATCCTTCCGTATGTGTTTCCTGTCCCTAGCAGAGCATGTATTCTCTTTTTCCCCCTACCCTGACGCATATTAGTATATTTTTTGTTTTATCCGATTAAAGATTCTCCAACAGACGGAGGAGTTGAAACGGGGACTGCAAAATTGGAGGGCGAAACTTCTGCGGTTGTTAAGCCCAAAAGGTTCCACCCACCTCCGAAGCACGCCAGCGTCTCCGCAGCTGCATGAAAGGACACAACGCGGACCCAAACGATGCTGCTCTCTTTCAGGACTGGCGTCCGCTTTGACCTTCTCCACCACCGGCCTCCCGAGCGTTCCATTTCTGCATGCGTGTGACAGAGATGAGTGGTCCCGCCTGACTCCGGAACTGTTCGAAACCGTCTCCACCAACGCAACCGTCCGGAGGATGACAGTGAAACTGTTGAGGCGTATCCGCCAGCTTAATACGGAAGTCCACGCAGTGACTATGACCACAATCCATAGGAAGAGACAGATGAAGCAGAAGCTAGACAACTTATATGCCCTCCAGACTTGCGGCTTTCTACTAGAATGGATTCAAATGAAGTAAGATTTGCTAGTTAACGCACTGTTTATTTAAATTGAACATCTGTTTAGAGTGCCGTGTAAAGAAACACGGGGAGTTTTGTTTTTCGCTGAGCAAAATGAATGTTTGATTAGTTAAACTCCTTTCGATTTTCTGTACGTCACGAACTTGTGCGTCTTCTTGGTATTCTTCCATTAGAGCGTTGGACTTCTTGCAACTGGTCAAGGGTGAAAGCCTCATCTGAGGTACCGCCTGGGATTATGCTTGGCTGACTGATAACGATAATAAGCCAGAAATGGTCAGTCCAGTTTCTCTTGTCTTCTTTGGCAATGCTCTTTCGCCTACAAATGAATAGGTTTTCTTGTAATTAGGAGCACAGGCATAGGGGGTCAATTTCAAGGAAACATGGAACAGAAGAACTAATAGGCAGCATTTTAGTCCTGTCTAATGGATCAGTAGTCAGTTTATGCTAACTAAAACGCGCAGTTATAGCGTAGTATACAGGTGTGGGAGACATTTGGCGTTTTAATGACTTTCCACATTAGGTTTAGGCCTACTGTCCGTTGTTTCCACTTATCGTTCTCGTACCTACAATTTTCCAGTAATGATCATTTGAGGTGACCGCTTGTCTGTCTGCATCGACAAAGTGTGCTTCTTTTCCGGCATTCAACCACTTTTAGTTTAACATTTGTAATTTCAACGAGAAAGTATGTGCAGAAGAGGAAGACGCGATCTCTGGAACGATAGTTTTATTCTGACCTTTCGGCTCCACACGAAAAGCCATCGTCAGAATAGAGCCGAAAGCTCAGAATAAAACTATCGTTCCAGGGATCGCGTCTACCTCTTCTTTACAAGAAGAACCTGGGGCACGCATGTTCACTTCTATTCGTGAGTATGTGCACAGTCTAATGATAGTTTGACCATCAATTTCGATGATGTCCAAGAGCAGGGACGGTGACTGTAGTCGCCATGTACCAAACTCTAAATTCTCTCCTTGCTCGAACCGGCGACAAGACAATGTCGAGATAACCGAGCGGAAATCAGGCGTTAGCCGCTTTCTACAATTCAGGTCAGAAACACCGTCTAACGTAGTTTTAAGTGACAGTAATCTTTTGCGCTGGTAACATTGCACTACATACCCTCACTCAACTTTAGCTGGTGTCCACAAACACTCCAGGAGACCGACTCTGATATTGCTACTATGATTATTATCATTATTATTACTACTAATACTACTATTTATGCTACTGCTTACTAGCAGTGTAGCTGGTTGATAGTAGTGCTGGTACTATTACTGACGCTAATACTTGGTCAGAAATGACGCTGATTAGAGTCATCGTTGGGCTGGGGTTCTCCTGATTTCGACTAGGAGTGGGGGCCCGAAGTTAGGCTATTCCGAATTAATTAGATGTTTGAAGTTCAAAGGACATCAATACTTGCCTTTATTTCTAGCTCCTAACTCTATTAACCAAAATTGCCAGTTTTTCCTAAGGGTGGACTACGAGGGGTAGGATACTGCTAATAGAAGGAATATGCCAATTCTAGGAGTGCTACTTCTAGTTATCATACTTGCTAAGACCAGTAAGTAGTATACTACAATGCGGCCTGTATAATCTAGTAGACAAAGCTAGACTACAGACACAATTCCAGCTTGGTTTTCTTCTGACCCACGCGATTTTACTGCGCCTGATTGCTCTCTATTTAGCAGCAATTACAAGGCCTAAACCTAAGGCGCCATTCGCTGGCAGCTAGGAACATTTAACTATAAAAAAGAATGTCATCACCTTGGTGTGCAAACGGTCTCAGCTTAAATGCGCACGCACCGCCTTGGAAAAGATCAAATTCATAGAGTAACCAGGGCTTCTTGAGTTCATTCTTTCAGAGTGATGCATTTTATCCCTGTCTCTTTTTTCGCAATACATTTGCACATCTCTGTGTATGTTCCTTACGGGTTTATTGCCTTCGGAGACATTGAGTTGTGTTCAGTTATGCTACCATTTGTGGCTTGGTTGGCGGAAATGCCCACGGAGGATAACATGATTTTCTTTTCTGATGCCTTACCATATGGGTACTCAAATAAGTAGGAGAGCAGTGAAATCGACAGGACCTCACACTCTTGGCCTAAGAGATATAGACGGACTTGCAATAATCCGAAAAAATCAATGGAATACGACGGTTAAGAAAATGAGTCCGTTGCACAGTGGACTAGAGCCTTGGACTTCTAAGCAGCAGGTCACGTGTTCGAGCCTTGGCTAATGCACCACCTCGGATTGTGATTGGTTGGCTGATTACGGTTAATAAGCCAGAACTGGTCATTCCAATCTCCCTTTTTTTCTTTACCAATGCTCATTCGCCTAAATTTGTATCTGTTTGCCAGGAAGTGGGGGTACAGGTCTAAGTGACAAATTCAAGGGAACATGGATTACAGGAATGAACAGATTACGTTTCTTGTGGCATTTAATTAATCAGTAGTCAATGCATGCTGTGAAAAATTCACAGAACAATCAGACATTTTAATGATCTCCGACAATTTTTTAGGCCAATTTTCTGTTGGTCTCACTTATCATTTGCATATCTACAAAATTGCACTGATGCTTTTTTTAAAGTGACCATTAGTCTCTCCTTATCGACGACCTGTGTTACTTCTCCCGGCATTAAACCGCTACCATTTTAAAATGAACAATTTTAACAAGAACGTAAATTTATAATCTTGTACAGAAAACTAGACCACAGACGTGATTTTAGGTTGGTTTTTGACCAATGCGATTTTACTGCTCATGATTTTTCCCGATGTACCAGCACTTACAACTCCAACATCTAAGGTGCCATTCTCCGATGGCTAGAAACATTTTACGTTAAAAAAAGAATGTCATCACATTGGTTGGCTAGGGGTTTCAGCCCGCCATGCTTAAATGCGCACGCAGCGTCTTGGAAAACATCAAAGTCATGGAGTAACTGGGGCTTCTTGAGTGCAGTCTTTCGGAGCGCTGCATTTTTTCCCTGTCTCTCTTTTTTCGGAATCAATTTGCACATCTCTGCGTGTGTGTCCTACGAGTTTATTGCTCTCGGGGACATCGAGTTGTGTTCAGTTATGTTACCATTTCTGGCTCCGTTGGCGGGCATCCCCAGGGCGGGTGGCATCATTTTCTTTTCTGATAAATTCCCCAATTCGGCGTGCAGACAGCCGGAAGAGCTGTGAAAATTTACAGTTATACTCTTTCCATATTTTATTTCTTTACTTGTATCGTTGCTCTAATAATCAGAGCAAAGTTTTATTGACAAACAAGGCGCCTTAATGAACTGGATACCAACGATGTTTTAGCGTTTTCCATGCCAAGTTTCACCAGGGTGTTTTTTATGACTTAGCGTCAAGGCACGAGATGTTGCACCGTATTCTTTACCAAGGTAAAGGCAACTAAATTCAGAGGATTTAATGACGTCAATTAATCTTGCGAATCTGCTTGCCCTTCCCGTGTTAAAATTTCCTCCGGGAAAACATTGCTTCCAGTATTCTTTACCGTTAGACGCCATCTGGGTTGTCGGCTTGCTCTGTATGATGCAGGCAGCTTGAAAACAAACTTAATTTCCGTTTTATTCGCTCGCAAAGCCTATAGGTGTGTTGCTAAACAAGGAAGTAGTTGCCTGCAGTGGAAAAGTGAACATGGCAAACTTGAGTAATTCTGCGGTTGTGTAATATTTTGTGACCAAAAGGGAGAAGGTTTGACAAAAGGGCGCTTCCGGCACTCTGAGTGGCATCATCCAACTGTGAACAATTTTAATGTCCGG